CCCCCCCACACACACACACACCCGCTTTCAATTAGCGTGCCAGAGAGGTACCTCACCAAGATGGATCATAAAACGGACCAAGAATAATCCACCTTGGTCGTACAACCTCTCTTGTTGTTGGTCAAAGTGATGGTCGTCCATGTGACCCCGTAGATGGGCTAGCTCGCCAATAATCACGCAAGTAGCTAGTCCTCGAAGACAACCACTGCCTGCGTGTGGCCCAAACATATGTATGGGGAGGTGTGTTTGAATACACAATGGAACAACTTTGATGTGGCACCGTGCTTTTGAACCAAAAATCCCCACACTGAGTGACGGTTAGTTGACGATGCACATGTATGTCACACCACACTTCAAGCCGATGACGGGGATTCATGCATGCATGCGTGCATAGTATGCGCTCAAACTTAATTATGTCTGAATCTCACCATGACCTATACTACGATAACACGAACCAAAGGAAGAATCCGCCATGGTAACCTACCTTGTTGTCGGTCAAGGTGATCATGGATGTCCACACGGGCCCACAAATTTATAGGCTTGTCGCCGATAACCACACGAGGGAGTGTACCGTTCAAAGACAACCACTACATGCATATGTATGGAGGTGATGCGTGCATGCATGTTTGAATACCATTTCACAACATTGATGTGGCGCATGCGTCAAAAATGGTACAGTCCCCACACAGAGCAAGATTGGTTCATGACATGTCGTGGTACTAGCCACTTCGACTCGATGTGAGGGATTCACGTGTACACATGCATGTGTGTGCTCAAACTGTATCATGTCATCCCAGAGCATGACCTATATATATACCGTATTACAGACAAAAAAATAATCCCCTCCTAAGTCAAATTAACCTCTCTTGTTGTCAGGCAAAGTAGCCCACAGATGGAAAGTATCGATATCGCTGATAATCGCTTAAGTGGGTGCGAGAGGACAACCACCATCGCTTTGTATGTGGGACAAACATATGTTGAATATATACCCAAAATGCACAACTTTGATGTGGCACATGCCTCGAAAACCGTAAAGTCCCCACACAGAGCAAGGTTCATGAAGCGTACTATATATGATGGTCCCCTTCCCCCTCTTCAACGCATGCATATTATATGTTCCTATCGTAATATAACCCAAAAAGAATCCTCCTTGATGGTGAAATTAATTAACCTCTCCCGATGTAGGTCAAAGTGATCCATGCACCGACGATGGCCTCGTGGGCCCACAGATGAAAGCGTCACATATGAGTTTCCTAGGATAACCACCGCCTGCATGCATGTGGCCCAAAAAGGTATTGTGTGATGTTTGAATAGCCAATTTCACAATTTTGATGTGGCACGTGCCTCGGAAACCGAAAACTCGCGACACTGAGTGAGGTGTACTTGTTCACGGACGCATATGTATAGTATAGTGTACATACACACACACACACACACACACACACACACACACACACACACACATATATATATATATATATATAGGACGGCCATATGGGACACCTAGGTGCCTGGGCACCTTGCCTATAAACCGTTGGATTACATTGAGATGTGTGCATGCGTAACTACTATTAACACTAACGGGTGACCCGTTACCTCTTTTATTAGGAAGAAGTTATTGCTTGATATGGATATTTAATGCCCACATTAGAAGGAGAGAGAAAATCAGTAATTAATGATCCATTAAGGTCATGCATGCTCCATTACGTGCCCTTCTTTCTTTCTTATACGTGCACATATTTCATTTTCTGGTATGTCTTGAAAATCATTTACGGGTATGTCTTTAATATACGTGTAATTTTTGTAGAACACACTATGTTTATTTCATTTTTTGATATATTATTTATGGGTATGTCTCTTATATCATTTACGAGTATGTGTTCAAGGCATATACAATGTATTTTATTTTGGGGTATATTATTTTATGGGTATGCCTTCAAATACCATTTACGAGTTTGTATTCAAAAAAGGTATATTATGTTTAGGTATGTCACCATTAATATTACATCATTTTAATTTTCAGAACACAGTGCGTGTAATTTTTTTTAGAACACAGTACGTGTATTTTATATTGGTATATTATGTACGGGTATGTCTCCAATATCATTTACGGGTATGTCTTTGAGACATATATGTGTATTTTATTTTTGAGTATATTATTTACGGGTATGTCTCCCATACCAATTACGGGTATGCATTCAAAAAAGTATTATATTTTGGGTATGTCACCGGTTACTGGTATGTAATCGCCCAATGATATGAAATTGATAGTACCCAATAAAATTACAGATATGAGAAATTAAGAGTGCTCAATATATTTTTAGGTATGTGCATACTCATCATATTTATAGACAAGTACATACCCTCTCTTGAAAAATATAAGTATATACCCAATAATACATAGGTATTATGCGTATACGCAAAGTGGGTATGATACCTAACTTTTGCCTATGCAAATATGAGGGCATGGTACCAAATCAATTTCAGTATATAGTCGCAAATACATAGCATACAACTTCTGCATGAAAATGTAATGGGAGAAGGAAAAAAAAGGAGATGTACTAATTGAGAGAATTTAAAACACTTAATTATATGTCATACATGGAAAGTCTTGCATGCAAATACTAGGAAACAAATCGTAATTTCTAGAAAACGCACTAACGGGTTGGACCTGATCAAGGTGCCCAGGCACCTAGGTGCCCCAAACATTTTACCTATATATATACAGCCGGTCTATTCTGCTAATATTAGCAGAATAAGTATTCTGATAACACTTTCGCACTGCACGTTCAATGCAAGTGCACGTCATGTTTGAACCAAGAGTGCTGCAGTACTCAGGCGAGTGAACTTTGTGTCGAAAAAACTGCATGCAGTGTTTTTTCGGTATTGTTTTCCCTCTAGTTTTTAACCATTTGTCGAAACGAGGCATATAATATATCGTTGGAAAGCTATGGATTAGGTGCAACTTCGCCATGTTTAACATTTTTCGAGATTCCCCACGGTTTAACAGCAGTTTTAAAAACGGTGCGGCGGACGACGAGTGGCAGCGAGCGTTTTTCCGCGTTTTTTTTCTAAACCACTAGTCGAAATGAAGCAAATGATACACCGTTGGTAAGATACCTTTGAGGCGCATCTTTTTTTTATCTATTATTTTTTCTAATTCGTTGCGGTTTAAGAGCAGTTTCAAATTTACTAAATCGCGGAATTCTGTTTTTCAAAAAAAAATTGAAATTTTCGATATTGTTTTCACTCCAGTTTTCCAACCGTTTATCGAAATGATGTGTATGATACGCCGTTGGAAAGCTACGGACGAGACGCAACTTTCATATGTTGAAATATTTTTAAGATTCCTTACGGTTTTAAGTTAATTTTAAAAATTGTGCGGCAGAAGACATGTGGCAGTGTCCGTTTTTCATGAATTTTTTACAAAACGCTGATCGAAAGGATCCGAATTCTACACCGTTGGAAAGATATCGACGAGACACAGCTTTTCCATGTAGAACACATTTTCTAATTCCTTACGGTTTCAGAGCAGTTTCAATTTTAGCAAAATATGGAAACTCTGTTTTTCGCGACACCCAAATCAACTTGTGTACTACATCTGACAGAAGAACACACTGCTTCAGACTGACAACCGCACTGCATTAGACAGGAAACTGAACTTCATGATTCCTTTTGCCGGACGCAAATTTTCTGAGATGAGTTTTTGTTCTCTTATTTCAACATTTTTTTTTATGAACGAGGGTGAACAACAGAGACGAGGGCAAGTGAACCGCAACATATATTGAAGTGAACCACATTACTATCTTGTTGCTCGCTAAATTTTTCGCACTTTTTATGTTGGGCGCAAGTGAACAGCATCACTCTTAAAAGAGAACCACATCTAAGGACCAAATGCACTGCGTGTGTCGATTTAGTCGACTGAATTTTAAAACACACGAAATAAATTGCATTTCATACAAAGGGGGTAATGAGCTGCTACACACAATTCTAGTGAACTATGTGTTTGTCCTCTTCAAACAATTTTATTCAAGACACCAGTGATGCAGATGGGATGAAGTATAATGAAAAGTAAACAAACTTCTAATGTGTTTGTTTTTCTCTCTATTGTACAAAAAAATGAATAAGTGGACCAAAACGGGTGCACTGCACGCACACACGCTCTCAACTGCAAGCACATGTCCTCCTCTGCACTGCACGCACACACGAGATGAACTGCACTGCAAGCGGCAAAGTGGCATTGACCCCGGCTTTTCTTCACCCTTTTGACCGATGCAAGAACAGCTAGAACCGCACTGCAGAGGGGGTTCCTCCGAGTTTGGCCATCGACACAGTGGTGGGGAGGTCGTGTTTGTCGTTCGGTGCTCCATGGCCATCGTTGAGCACTGCACACACACCCACGCGCCGCACTGCACGCACCCCATGCGCCGCACTGCATGCCCACGCCCGCGATCCATGACAACACATGCCTCGGACTGCACGACCATGCTGCCGAACTGCATGGCATATCCAGGAAGCAGCGCCATGTGAGTAGTTGTCGTCGGCAGATAGACGGGATCGAGGGGGCTATTTTGGACACTGCTTTGGTGCTCTACTGCACTGCACGCCTTCGATTTTTGGATTGTACGCACGCACGCCTTCGATTTTTGGACTGCACGAACTTCTTCCTGCATCAACCATTAAGTGATAAACGAAGTTTGAAATTGAATAATTATGACTGATACGCATTAATATTAATTCCAACAGGTAGGTAAGCTAGTAAAGCATAAAAGAGTAGACACATAGTTAGCTTAAATACTTTGGACCACATGTTCTGTTTACTTACTAGCACCTAAGAATTTATAAGATCTGAATGTACAAAGATTACCCTACTGGCGAAGAAGGTGATGTTATATAAATTAACCTCTTTCGTGCCTCTTGCAATGAGCAAAACAATACCACACTAGATGGAGATGGTGAGTATAGCTTACCAAGCAGGCAATCACCACAGCCCCGCTCGTCTTGAACAAAGAGTCTTGCAGAATACGAGTAACTTTGCTCTGCCTGTATGGGACAAAGCTCTGGTTGCTATTCAGCATTTGCGGGACATTCATCAAGGTATACATGGTCTTCTTGCCGCTCGATAGAGCGGCCACTCCCCAGCCGGTCTTCTGCTTGGGGCCCACATAGTCTGACACAAGAAGCAAACATAAGGCGGATGCTACATAGTAGTAGAGCCTGTGCTCGATGAGGTGCATGCAAGAGAGGATCACAAACCCGTGAGGCTGAGAAAATTGATCTCGGCCACAGCACGCTCTTTGCCGTCCTGGTCATATGTGAATGATGAGGCCTTGGTGCCCTCTGGTCGGTAGCTGGGTTCGCTGCTCGGCCGTGAGTGCCGCCCTGCAAGCGCCGCCCTGCCGCAGTGTGTTACTTTACTTCAGCCTTTTCTTTGGTTGGCACATATTGTTATTTATTATTCTATCTTGGTTTGCAGATAGGTGATTACTTGAGCGTGTCGATCCTGTGAGCCGTGCCATCTTCCAAAATAGTTTGTCTGCTGCACACCAATGAGAATAGTTTTCCTGTTGTGCTATTATCTTTTTTTTTTTGAAACAGAGGCAAAAGCTTTGCCTTTTTCATTAATAGAGAAGAAGATAGTTGCCCGGTTAATTACAGGAAAACCGTGCGAAAACCGTTACATCAAGGGTCAAACCCACACACAGACCCGACAAGCCAACAAAGACCCCGCAGATGGCGCGCTACAAAAGTCATCCCGCGAAACAACATGCGGACTACTCCCAGAACAATAAGCACAGGAGAGGAAGGCACATACTAATGGCTAACATCATGACATGCAGTCCCCACGCCCGAGGCGACGCCTGCCAGTTGGTTGACATTCTTGATCTTCGCTGCATTGACAAGGTGAATCAGCCCTTGGGTGATCGCAGGCACGGCAGAAAGGCTTTTGACCAGCTCGATGAAGACGTGTAAAGTGTTTTGGCCCTCAAATGCCGATGTGCATCCCTTTGCAACGCCCCACACCTCATTGGAGGCAGAAGTAGGAAGGCTAAGCTCGGTGGCCACCTTGTCATACAAGGCCATAGACTTGACCGACGCATGCTGCCCTGTAGACTCCACGGCAGCAACATACCTTGAGGGCGCCAACCCAACCTTGTCGCCAATGTCATCAACACCTTTGCTCCCATCTTTTGGTAGCGTCAAACCATGAACGGAAGTGCCTAAGGAGCAAGGTCCCTGCAAGGAGGCTGGGCTCAACCCACGCTCACCATCAGACACCTCCGCCTGCTCCAAGAGGTCGGACGCACGTGCCAACCACAGGCACAAAGAGTCCTCCAGCTTGCGCAGCGGGCGGAGCGCAAACTCAACCAAGCTTTGCAGCTCCGCACGAAACGAGACAAGCATAGCATCATCAGATGTCGCAACACCCCGATCAACAGAACCTTCGCTTGGAGCTTCAACAATCCTTGCAGACTCAGGAGCTTGCACACACACTGCGGTAGCAACAACCGAAGCCCAAGAGCGCCCATCTGAGGAAGGGCGAGGCGGAGCTGGGGGGTCACGCACACAGTGGTGAATAGCTTCGAAGGAGGAGTGACGCAGAGAACAGTCCCTCTCACGGTGTCCAGAGCGAAGACAAGTGAGGCATCAAAACGGGTCGCGGCAGGACGCAACCTTGTGGTCCGGAGCCAAGCAACGGAAACATCGACCACGGGTTCTCCTCTTGAATGTGTCGGCTTGCACAGACCTTGCATCATGAAAGGTCGGGGACGTGGAAGACTTGCTGCAAGGCACGTGACAACGGGGACGACGCCTTCGTCCGACGTAAATCCAGGGACCATCCCCGGGTTGTGTGACCACAGCTTCCGCCTGATCGCAAGGATACAAGCAAGCAGTCGACGCACCAACCGCACCAGAGCATGAGCCTTCGACAACAGACGTTGCCGTCTTCGGTGGCGCCAGGTCCCCTTTGCCAGAATCGTTGTTGTCACATTCCTCGCCTGAACCCTGGCCATCTACATCAACCAGAGATGCCCACGGCCCCGCATGAGCAACATTGGCGTCAACAGAGCACAGGGAATACTGGGAGGCAGCCGGCGGCGACCGTGGAGCAAGCTCCTCCTCTCTGTCGTCCTCCTCCTCCTCCTCGCCAGCGGAGCTCCAGAGGGGCGGCGGTGGCACTACCGACATCACCAGATCGGGCGGATGTTTGCCCACATCCTTGAGAACAGAGCAACAAGGCAAGCGCTTCATGGTGTAGGGAACGATGGCCGGCGGCAGATGGGCCAGCTCCACAGTCCCCTCGCCATCGACGGCGGAGCACCGGGAGCCAGGCCTGGCCCCGAGCAGCACCCCCATCACATCGCGAGGAGCATCGCTCCGGACAGCCGGAGGCGACCGAGAGACGGGATCCAGATCCTCCTGATCTGGATCGAGCGGGGGAGGGGCGATGGGGATCGACACCGGTGGCTCCGGCAGCTGGTTGGAGGAGGCGCCGGCCAAGATGGCGGGCGCGGCGGGTGACGGAGCTAGGAAGCTCGTCGCTGCAGCCGGTGTGGTCGCCGCTGCAGCCTTCTAGGAGCGCGAGCGGGAGACCTGCGCACTCCGCCGGCCACCGTTCTCCTGCCGCATCCTACAGGCTGGGGGTAGCGGCCGCGAGCGCGGGAGCACGCGAGGCGCTGGTAGGGTGGCCGGCGGGGCCGGGGTGGCCGCCGCCAGTGGGGGCTGGTGGAGGGGCGCGGGGTCGGGGTCGCGAGAGAGCCGTTGCATCGCTGAATATTAGGCGACTTGTTGACCTGCAACACAACAACTGGTTGGTTCTTGTGCTATTATCACAACTGGTTGGTTCTTGTGCTATTATCTTGAGGTGTGCGTGCGAGGGATAAAGCTCTCCTCAGTGGTAGGGAACTGGAACCAGAACTATCTGTAATAGTGGCGACTTCTGAACAAGTATTTGAGAGAGAATTTACACTTGAGACATCTGATGTGTTTGCTTGCTACGTACCTGTTTTTTGTGGTTGTCACTCAAAACGAGAGTACTCTTTTTATCCTAACGTTTCCAGCAGAACATATGTAGGAAGAAACATTGATGCGACGCAGGGCTTTGAGACTGAATCTAGCAAATACATGATGAGATATTTAGTAGCTAAATCAAAGTTATGCAATCGTTACCAGTAACACCTTATGCAACTAAACAAGATAACTTGTGGTCTCAGATAATGAGCATTGCAATCTGTTAATTTCGTAGGTTTCTGTAAACTCCCGTTTCTGCCTTGAAAAAAGAACCTATATCTCACTAAAAGCAAGTTCCCAGACATTCTTGCTAATGATTCTAGTACTATAATAAACTTGTGTTTCGCAACAACAAAAAAAGGCATGGTTTCAGGAGTGCGGCTAATCTGCACCCGGGCTCAGCTGCACCCACGCTTAGAAAAAAATTCAAAAAAAATACTAGAAAAAATCGAAAAAATCCAATTTTTTTTGTGGTGGTAGATAATTTGACGCGTGAGGTGCGCCCCAAAAATCAGCTCATTTGAGCATCGGAGCAGCTCTCGGCAAAAAAGACAAAATCAGGGTCTGTAAAAATGTTTACTGTTCACGCACTGTTTTGACCCGATTTGTCTTTTTTGCCGAGAGCTGCTCAGATGTCCAAATGAGTTGAATTTTGGGGCGCACCTCACGCGTCAAATTATCTACCACCACAAAAAAGTTTGGAATTTTTTGAATTTTTCTAGTATTTTTTTTGAATTTTTTGCTGAGAGGGAGCAGATGAGCCCTGGCACCGTTTTGAGTTTTCCATGGTTTCAGCACAAAGAGTACTCTGTTGATGTCGTACCGAAGAAAGCTGGGCCTTCAGCCTATCTTGCACAACGGATCATCAGATCAATCACTAGAAAAACATGACAAAGATGCAAGAACTGATGGATAGGATCTTCCGTTTTCTGCAGGGATTCATCGGCCTCATCTACTCGATAGGTTCAGTGGGTTTGCTGCTCGGCTGTGAGTGCCGCACTGCAAGCGCCGCCCTGCCGCACTGCATCCGCCGCCCTGCCACACTGCATTGTGGGGGAGGATAGTGAGCGATAGCAGCTGCTCGTTATAGAACTAGCTGGAGAGGATGAAAAGAACCCATCCGTCGTGAGATTGCACTGACAACATGGACACAATGGATGATGAACGGTAGCAGAACCATCTCTGATGCAGCACAAAGAAATTACCTCAGGTAGCGGGAGACGAGGCTGATGAATCCGGACTTCTCCTTGTCGTTGCACGCAACGCAACAGCAAGAAATCCGGACTTTGGACTGCAAGGCAACGGTGGGGCGTGCTGCGTGCCCCCACGTACTGGACTGCATGGCGCCGGCGGGGGGATGGGGTGCAGTTGATCTTGGATGGTCAACACATCTGCCGGCGAACTGCAGTGCGGAAGGGCTAATAGCACTACACTGCACATCTGACCACGAGCCTCGTGCCACCAAACTGCAAGCACGATCACCGATGGACTGGACATCCAGCCGCACTGCACCGATGCCCCAACAGAACTGCAGCGATGTGCCCAAGTGAAATCTGAAAAAGCAAAAAACAATCGATGGGGAGGAGAGGATGCTCGAGGCCAGTGGTTGCGGCGTCATGGCTGACGACAAGGGAGGCCAGCAGAGGCAAGCGGTGGCTGGTGAACCTGCACAAAGATGGGGGCCGCGGGCGAGCTGCACGGGGGCCGCGACCGAGCTGCATGAGCTGGGGCGGCGCCGGAGCACCACGAATGGTGCAGATGAGGCCCTGGATGGAGACCGCCAAGAGGAGGAGAGAGCTCGTCCTCGGTGATTCAGGTGGGTGCGGTGTTGCTCAGGGGAGGGAGGAACTCGGATCTGACACGGTATCCATGGGTCCGTGGTCGGGGTCGCACACCTCGAGGCAGTTGGGCGCGGAGAAGAAGCTGGCGGGATGGCACCGGCTCACGGCGGTCAGGCACGGAGAGGAAGGTGGTTCGGTGGTGCTGGCTTGCCGCGGCCGTGCGCAGAGATGGAGGCGGCGGAGCGACGCTGGCTCGCGGCGGCCGGCTGTAGAGAGGAAGGTGGTGGGGCAGCTTGCGGTGGCGAGAGTAGAGAGGAAGGTGGCTCGAGGAGCCCTGGCCGCGAGAGGAAGGCGCGCGACAGCGGCCTGGGAGTGGTGCTCCGATGGCGGCTTTGTAAGAAGGTGGACGGGGGTTAGGCGGGGCACGGCGGCGGCCGGGGTGGTGCTCTGGCGGCGCGGCAGAAGGTGGACGCGGGCGGGGTAGGGCGGCAGAAGGTGGGTGGGGCGGCGGCGGCCTGTGGTGCTTCTCCGGTGGCGATGTGGTAGAAGGTGGAGCGTAGGTGGGGGATTTGGATTGGGGTCGGGGATGGCTTTTTTTTGCTGTAGTTAGGGTGGCTTAGTCCGACAGGTGTTATCAAAATAAGACTAGGTGTTATCAGAATAAAGTGAGTGCTAGTCCTCTCCCACCTCTTCGACGCGTATTATATATATACTTCCGTCATAACACAAACAAAAAAGATTCTACCTTGCTGGTCAAATTAACCTCAATGACGGTTGTTTTCGTCAAAGTGATGGACGGCGACCTCGTAGGCCCACAGAAAGCGTCAC